ATGTGTGTATGTGTGTATGTATTTATGTATTTATGTATGTATGGATGTATGGATGTATGGATGTATGGATGTATGGATGTATGTATGTATGTATGCATGATCGTTGCATGCTGTTATGGCTCTCTCAAGCAAGCCCACCAAAAGCCCAACTTGAACCTTGCACTCAGCCACGATGTAAGGATGTCGTCTGGCTTCTTCAGAGGGACGAACACGGATCAGGCTGTCCAACCACGGTGGATCTACCGAGACACCTAAACCCTGAACACCAACTAAAAACCTAAACCCCAACCCCCTGAGCCCTAAACCCTGAACCCCAAACCCTCAACCCCTAAACCCTAAACCCTAAACCCTCAACCCTAAACCCTATTAAACCCGGCATAAACTTAAGCCCTAGACCCCAAACTTTGGAAATCGTAATCGAGAGGTTGGCTTCAAGACGTGCCCTTGTCGATTTGTCGAGCTGAGCAATGGATTTAGGGTGTAGGGTTTAGAGCTTGGGGTTTGGGGCTTAAGAGCTCAGGGATAATGGAAGTTTTGGACTTACCTCGGTTTAGGGTTTAGGGTTTAGATTTGGGTTTAGGTTTAAGAGCTCAAGGTTTAGGGAGGTTTTTGGGCTTACCTGGGTTTAGGGTTTCGAGCTTTGGGTTGAGGTTTGCGAGCTCAGGGTTTCAGGAGGTTTAGGGCTTACCTCGGTTTAGGATTTAGAGCTTAGCTGGGTTGATACTTTGTTAAGGACGTATTCAAGGAAATCATCATAAAGAACCCTACACTTAAAGGTAGTTTCCTTAGGGTCCAGGGAAGTGTTTAGGGTTCGGGGCTTCGGGGTTGTAGGCTCTTGGTTTCAAGTCATGCTTCTGTGAGTTGCAGGTTGCCAAGCACCTACCTGGACACCAGAGGTACTATTCTAGCTTTTCGTAGGTTTTGGGCCATTACCTTACCTACTTTTGGGGGTTTAGGTAGTCCCTAAGCTGTGGTACCTGCATCTGGCTATCACATTTTCTGCTTCTCGGATCCTAACCAAAACAACTACATGCAGGGGCTTTCCAGCCAAACGGTGTCATTATTCAGGGTTTAGGGTTTAAGGTTTAGGGTCTGGTAGATGTGGAGGATTCGGAGGATCCATATCAAGGTTTTGATTGTTGTGGATCTGTGCGGCAGTCTTGATGTGAAATTGATCGACGATTCGTCAGCCTGTTCCGAGTGGATCTTATCGGGTTGTCGTAGTCCGCTCAATACTTGGCTGAAAAAGCGCATGGCAGTCAAGGCATTGCAGGTGTGTATCTTCTTTTCAGCTACAGTAAGATGGGCATGCAAGTTGTGGACAGGCCCTACGCATTGTAAGCTCTAACGTTTAGCACTTTGCACTGGGCTGGAACAACTCGCTGATGCTTGCCTGGTGTGATGCGTGCCTGCAGGTCAAGCATGTCAATGCTGAGCAGAAAATCATCAAGGACTGCAGCCCTAAACCCTGAACCCTGTAACCCTAAATCCTGAGACCGTCGTATCAAGCCAAAGCCCTAGACTCAGGCTGCACTAGTCATCAGATGCCAAGAAGCACATCTTAGCCAACCTAAACCCCAAACCCTGACCCCCAAACTCTAAACCCTCAATACCAAACCCGGATTACAAACGACCTCATTCGATGCTCCCGCAAGCAGCAGGTTGTAATCATTCACCTTTAGTTACGTGCTTCGCTGGCCCCTCAAGAACATGAGAACAACGGGTCCATGTAACAAATGTACCCATGTGGCCTTTGTGGTAATACACTTCCACCATCAAAGTGTCTATATAAGCGCCTCTTGAGGGCCTCTACTGTATGCTCATTTGTTGGTAATACATGGACATTCTTCATGCTTCAGGAGCCCCCATACTCGTAACTGCTGCAGGAGATGCAGAAGAACAAGCGGTTTCCTGACCACTACGCTCAAAAGGTGGACATATCCAAGGCTCCTAGAGTATTAAGTCTCGCACTAGCTGCGATTCAACCGTTTTGGGTAAAGACTCCGCGGGGACAAGCGTAGGTATTGTTCATGTACTTCAGACCCAGAGGAGGTTTTGTTGTACCCCTTCATCGTGAGGATGAGGGTAGGGGTTCCTACATTGCATGGGTTCCGATCAGGGGTACTGCAAGGGTCGCATTCAGGCCTGACTTTCAGGGTTCCTTTAAGGGCTGATGCTTCCAAAGCAGTGTGTGCACTCGAGATTTCAGAGTCTGTTTTGTGCTTAATCGCTGAGAAAATAAATTACCGTTTGAGGGTCAGGGGCGTTAAGGCCATCTGGATTGAGGATATTATGGTGTTTGAGCCCTAAACCCTAAACCCTAAACCCTAAACCCTAAACCCCTAGACCCTAAACCCTAAACCCACCCTAAACCCTATAATAAGCAAGCTCTGCGATGCTTGTGTGGGGACGATAGGCTGCTGTGTAAATGGGCAAACCGGTCTGCCAGGGTGTTGTGGATCCCTTTTGGGTCCACGTGCCCAACTAGTACGGTTTAGGGTTTAGGGTTTAGGGTTCAGGGTTTAGGGTTTAGGGTTTAGGGTTTAGGGTTTAGGGTTATCTAATTTGGCCCTAAAGTAGTCCTGCTTAGGTACTTCAGGGCCAATGTAAATACTATTTGGGTAATGTAGAACCTTAAATAATTACCAATATTACTGTTAGGGTTCCTTAGTATAATTATAGTATTCTGGGCCCCCAAACCCTATTCTAATTATTAAGGCCCCTACATTACATGGACCCCTAGGGTATGGTTTAGCAAGGATCTCGTGACGAGAGACGATATGCCCATGTCCGAGAAGCCACGATACACCCGATAACTCTAAACTCAAGACCCTACCTATAGTCTCCATTGTAGTTCCTTTTGGGGGATACCTTATAATAAAATCCTTAATTATAATTGGTTAAACCAAAAAAGGAACTACAATGGAGACTATAGGTAAGCTTGCTATCAGAAGACTTCGAATTGGGACTGTGCCAAAATCGGTTCTGAAGCATAGGATGTCCAGCTTCACTGGAGACATGGCTGGCTTGACACAGCCTTAAGTCCGAAAGCCTTGCCCTTGAGATAAAGAGTATGGGATGCTAGCACGAATCGCCGCCTTAAACCTACTTTTTGTAGGGTGGTGTGCAGTACAACCCCTAAATCCGAAATCCGAAACCCTAAGCCCATGCAGAGCTGGAAGTCCGTCGAATCCCTCCATCTCTCAGCCGCCTAAGAACTATTTTCGGCTTGTGCTGTAGTTGAGGTTTGCGGATGTGGCTTCTGGGACGCTTTTA